TTAATAATCTATTATTTGATATATCACATGATCAATTTTTAGTAATTATTCTTTTTATAATGATTAATTACTAATTATCAATTATTAATTATAATTGATTAATATATTATATATTGATAATTATAATATAATATTAATTACTAATTGAGTAATTATTATTTATTTTATATTTATCAACTATTTCTAACTAATAGATTATAATTAACATAATATATGATTGATATATTAATTATTAATTATTTATAATAACTTATTATTACTTGTTTTATTGTTAATAATTAATTTTGGTAATTAATCTTTAATTAAATAAATAATTACTATATTATTTATTATTTTATTAACAAAATTAAAAAAGTAATAGTAATAAATTAATATTTAAGTAATAATTAAGCAATTACTAATTATTAGTTATTAAATATAATATATAATATAATTAATTATTAATAATTAATTATTTAATAAAACTTTGTTGATAATCATTAATTGTACTGATTATCGCAAATTATTTAATAAAACTTTGTTGATAATCATTAATTGTACTATATTGATTATCGCACAATTTAAAGTCTAAAATTGCCTTTGGGATGTATCTGATTTTGGCTGTAGATTCTTCAAAAATTCTTTAAAAATCACTTTTATAATTTTTACTAAACATCATTATCAACTTTTGATTGCTAGAAAAATAATTTTAGACACTAAGAAGCATTACCAAACGCACCCAAAGAAAGAGAGTGCAGACATTTTAGTCCACACGGTTGTTTTTTAATTACCGATCCACCCTAAAAATCCATGGCAACCCCCTATTTTTTTATTTTTTATTTTTTATTTTTTTGATATTTGGCAACCCCTATATTGTATAAGAGCCGAGTGCGTTAGGGGGGTTAGACCGTCGTCCCTACATACAGTCGAGGTATGCGTAACTTGTTTGTCGAAGTGTCGCAATAGGGTCGACGGAGAAACATGCCACACTTGGCAAAGTATATAGCGCATGCGCAGAGGGCATGATGCAAGCAACTGGGCCTGAATTCCAAGAAAGACCTCTGAGGTGGTAAGCTGGAGATCCCAAAGTTGCGTCTGGGTTTGAAAAAGGTCAGTTGCGCAGGGAATGATTACAAACCCTTAAACCGCCTGGAACAGACCAATGGGAGTTACAGAGGATCTGCATAGCCGTAATAGGGGGACAAATTGGATGAGTGAACAGTCCAAAAGGGACTGACAGGCTACAGTCTAGGTAAATGGGATGGCAGGACACTTGAGTAAATAGGCCGCTGGAGAGGAACCGCCAAAAGGCCCTAAAGACAGCTCGTCCAAGGGGGATGTTAATAGGTAATTTGTAAGCTATAAAAGGGGCAAGGCTCCAGGGAGAAAAGGGGATCTTTTTATGTAACCTTTGAAAGAACAAAAAGAGAAATACAATATAGTGGATGTAGCTCTTTTGAACCACTATAAAAACTTGCGTGCGTTTTTACTTCCATGAACACGCAATATCAAATACTCTTCACGATACACCAAAAACATAGACACTATGTTTAGAATACTTAGTTAAATTGCAAGTTTTAACCGGTAACCCAACGGGCCATCGCGGGGTAATCCGGTGCAGTCTTGTTGATGAAAACCGACCATCAACAATAATCATTAATTGTACCATATTGATTCCCGCACAATTTAAAGTCTAAAATTGTCTTTAAACTGTTTCTGATTTTAGCTGTAAATTCTTCAAAAATTCTTTAAAAATCACTTTTATAGTTTTTACTAAATATCGTTATCAGCTTTTGATGGCTAGATAAATAATTTTAGACGCATTACCAAACGCACCCAAAGAAAGAGAGTGCAGGCATTTTAGTCCACACGGTTGTTTTTTAATTACTGATCCACCCTAAAAATCCATGGCAACCCCCCTATTTTTTATTTTTTATTTTTTTGATAATTTGCAACCCCTAATTATCTCCAGGATAATGATACATCGGCACACAAAATCCGCTTAAGTATTAACAATAGCGTGGCACAAAATGGCCCAACTATGAACCTTACCCAATTAACGGTCAATTGGACTTGGGTTACAATGAGCCCAATAGCAATAAAAAAAAAAAAAAAAAAAAAGAAAAACAATTCCCATTCCCTCAGACGCGCTATTCACGTGACAACCTACTTGTTCCCTCCGCCCAGAATCCCAACCAAACACACACAACAACACAATAGCCAAACCAAAAATCTCCCCCTCTTTCACACACACAACAGTCTCTCTCTCTCTCTCTCTCTCTCTCTAACATCAATGGCGGCCTCACTCACCAGCATCTCGCGCCTCCTCGCCTCCCCGACCTCTCTCTGCCTCTCCACCACCGCCACCGCCTCTCTCCTCCCTCTGAAGACGGCAGCGCTCTCTTCCAAGCTCTCCTTCGCCTCTTCCCTTCCCCTCAAACTCCGTCAATCCTCCAAGCCTCTCCGATTCTCCACCAC